TTCGGCTGACATTATTCCTTAGCAACTAGTACGAACATGTCAGCATATTCCGTAAGAAATGAACTATTTCTGTATTAGGCAGCGACCGTTCCTAATTTTACATTGACGTCATCATAATTATCATATGAATCTCGACGACCTGGTGTTGGCGGGTAAACTGAACAGGCATGCACTGTAATCCAACATGGTGGATATGAAAAGCCTCCATACTTGCTTTAGATTGATGTTCGATAGACATGGGACTAAATATAATAATTTGCCACTGCCCTCAAACAAGAAGAAACCCCCTTGCTCCAAAGAAGTCATCGAAGCGGCATGGAGGTAGTTCTCTCCATCTCAGGCCGAACACGGAAGCCTTCAGCCACACCTTGTCTGGACGTTGTGTCTCAGACCCACGTCTAGACGTCTCGCCGCACGTCGGGACAGCGCGTCTCGCCGTACGTCGGGACTGCGCGTCTGGGTATATAAGGCCTGACGAGCAGGCCAAGCTCACTCTCGTTGAGGGTTCAGTTTACGTCCTTGTGACTATTACGCTTACGTCCTTGTGACTCTCGCTATCGACTTGCTCTCAGTCTAAAGAGAATGGCCAGAATCAACAACACCGGTGAGCCCAATTATACTTCCAGTATTGTTCGTTACACAGTTTCATCTTGCCCATAGAACGAATCTCAACAACAGAAATCGTGACTTACTCATGCCGATTGATTAGGAATGTTTTCTGGCCTGATGTCTAATCTATCTATATAGCTATCGCAGTTTGGGTCGGTACTCTTCGGGGCGTTATTTCAAATTTCCCGTGCTTTATGAAAAATGTTTCAGAGGTTCGCTAGATGGCGCTAGTTATGGATCGGTCCCTCTTGTCACAAAATCCCAGTCATTTTACCAAGTGAAATACATTTGTATGTACGGAGAAATGTGTTACGTGTATACTTTGTTATGCCCCTGAAGTTTCCGTAAAATGTCATGTACTTTTCTTGCGTTTGTACATGTGTACCTAGGACATACAGGGATATCATTTATGGTTTTGGTAGCACCTACCACATTGTCAGCTGTGTTTCCGTCTTGTATATGAAACGGTCGTTGCCATTTGCGAAGGCTATATCGCTGAATGGTCGATGCTATATCA